TGGGAACAGATTTCTCACAAACGTAGGGTTACTTCGGTAGGCCTTGCACTAGGAAGGAAAGTGGGGTGAAATCTTGTCATGCCGACATGGTGTGATCCTAAGATTCTCTGGTGTCTTAGTTAGACTTAATTAATTTTAGGAGTCATTCAGTATTACAGTTTGATGGTATTCCTCTTTGTTTAGAAGTGAGAAGTCTTAAGTTCGAATCTCGTGAATAGAAAATTCAATACCAATTTAGGTTGTCATTGTGTGGCTTAGCCGAACTCCCCCTAGTGTAAAAATATCGATGTACTAAAAAAAAATGAATTTTAGGAAAAATGAATTTCAAGGTATAAGCTTCTTGTCTCATGAACAATTATCTTTTCATGTAAATGGTCATGCCTTTAGAGCACTTCTAGTGTAGTAAGGCTCCCTAGCCAGTAGGCAACTTAATCCCCTTAAATGATCACTTAGTACTACGGTCTGGTGGTATTCCTCTTCACTAGGAAGTGAGAGGTCTTAGGTTCGAATCTCATAGATGACGAATTCAATACCAAATTAGGTGCCTATTGTGTGACTTAGCTAAACTCTCCATCCCTTAGTGTAAAAATATCAATATATTAAAAAAAATCCCCTTAAATGAACAGTAACTACTCAAGTACATCTCCACCCCAAAAACTGAATAGCCTAGGCAATTTGTTTTAAAATATTAATATTTTTTATTTTATAAAATACTAACTTTATTTTTAATTTTGGGTAATAATAAATGATTGGTTGAAAGTATTTGAAAATATTGAAATGTAGGGTAAGGTGGAAGAATATGGTTAGGTATTTATAAAAAATATATATAATTTTTTATATTTTTATAATTTTTTAATAATTTAAATTGTGACTGACGTCTTGCGTCACATAGATAGGGCGCTAGAACAGGTGATTATTGCCTGACTTCTCCATCGGACTCGCCTTGAGTCCAATTGCTCAAGTGGGCTGGAGTGTTTTGACCCTTTGGGGAGGGTGGAGTGGATTTGATTGCCTATCCCCAAAGCAATAAGCAAAAGTAGAGTTGCTCCTACATAAGCCTAGGCATGACATTGGATGTGATTCATTAGGACACGTCTAGTGCTCCTTGTTAAGGTTAGATAAAGCATAGATGGTATTGCCCACAACTATAGCCCTCCGTAGGAAAGGATAATAACTACGATCATCTTTAGAAATATATTTTCAACTAAATTCATCCCCTCTCCCTTAACGTAGAAAATATCATTTGTTAAAAAAAAAATTTAAAAAGTACACAGTGCCATCTTTTTCAAGGATAATAACGGGTTTATGAATTGCTTCTCTCCTCCTCCCATAACTTGTCCTTGTTGGATTTTCATAGCTCAGTTTGCATGCAGGCCAAGTAATAGAAACCAGCAAAAGCTAACACAAACGTATAACAGGTTGAAATAACAACAAAATTAGAGAGAGAGAGAGAGAGAGAGAGAGAGAGAGAGAGGTGTGCAAAAACTCCAGTGCTGCAAGAGTGGAATCAATGTATACAATTTACAAATTGAAAATCCAAAACCAAAAATTATTTTTAGTTGATTTCCACTTTAAAAATTTTGTTTTCACAAATTTTTTAAATTTGTTCCCCTCCTTCTTGCCACCTTTCTTCATTCCTCATAGATTTTCCTCATATTTTATGTGACGATCCGTCCTGAATTAATATATATTTTTATCCTCGGATGTGTGGAATTGACGATTATACCCTCGAGTTGTAGTGATGTGGATGTACGTTTATAGTTTTAAATTATTATTTTTAGCGAACGTGAGTAAATTATATGCGACGTCATGAGAACATTGATGCGAGTTAGGGCCGAATTGGGTTTGTAACGAAAATGTTACGAATAAACGATGGTGTAGTCGAGCTAAGGAAATGGACCAATCATCATACCTCCTACTTTCTTGGGTCCAATTAGAATTGTGGGTTTGTTTTGATTTAAATTGTTAGCCCTAACCTTATGGCCCAATCAGGGCCCTACTCTTTTATTTCTGCCCAATCCCGTAACACATACATACACACACACGTACAAACTTTCTTTCCTTCTTCTCTCTTCTTGACTCTTTTCCCTTGTTCGTACAATCCAAGCTTTCAACTCTCAAACACCATCCAAACTTCATCGATCGAGCTTGAGCTTTGCACCAACGTGTTTTTTGTGACTTCGCGAATCCATCTGTACCATTGGATCAAAGAACAGACCACGGGAACCCGAAAACCTAAGAGCTTCGAATTGGTGCTCTGTTGCTCCATCGTGATCATAGTTATTTCACGGAGTTTTAAAGCTTAAGGGAGTCTTAAAACTACTCCATAGAGACCTAGGAACAATTTTTGGGAGGATTTAGACGTCGGGATAGGTCAGTTCCATGAGTTGCAGACTTAGTCGAAATATCGAAGGATTTTTCAGCCACTTTTCATCGATTTTAGGACCTCTAAGAGGTAAGATCATGTTCTACTACTTCAGGGCTTCAAATTGATATAAAATTTGTGGAATTTGGTTGAAAAAACGAAGAAGATATTGAAGTTTTACAATTTTTCAGTTTCCGGTGACGCAGCGGTGGCCGGGGCCGGATTTCGGCGAACCATCAAAGAAGGAAAGAGAATATTCCTTCAATTTTGACAGAATATACTAACGGCGTCAGGTAAAAGTTAACAGTATATGCTACTATTTAATGGAATATTTCCTAACGACGTTAAAGATTCCGTCCATGTGCCAGGCACGTGCTTGCCCGTGGCTGGCGCATGAGGGCGCATGGGACATCGGAAAATTATTCTAAAAATATGGGGATGCTCGTGGTGTTGAGTAGGCCACAGTGGTATATTCAAACAACCTAATTGAGCAACGTATGAGAAGTTATTATATGGTTTTGATTATGTGCTTAAATTAACGTTAAATCAGTGGTTTCACATATAGGCGAGACGTTCCCGAAGGACGAGCGTAACCAAGTGAGACTCAGGGGTTACGACCCAGCTACATACCAGTGAGTGAGCTTTTGGTTATATATATATGGTTTACATTTTTCCATAAATGGTTTTAAATGAAATTATGTTTTAAATGCCATGTCGATTTCATTATATTTTAGTATATGCATTAGTATAGATATGGATATTATTGCATGGTGTTGCGGACGCACATGTAAGCTTCAGGTGAGTACATATTAATGATAGCGATTGCAGTGTATATGATTATGTTGAAATACATTTAGTGTTCATTATCCTGCACCCCAGTGTTAATGCTCAGCCCGAGGCCAGGGCCTAGCCTTCATGTGATCGTTCACCTCCCGCACCGTATGCTCACCTTGGATCCAAGGCAGGTGCCAGCCTGTCGTATAGATCATATTAGGTGGTTCCAACTCGTATGTGACTTGCAATACTTCACACAGCCTTCACATGATCGTAGCACTTGAGCATATTTATTTGCACCTAGCTTGTTGTACAGACCACATTAGGTGGTTTCGACTCGTGTGCAGGATTTGGTAGATGAGCTATAGGTTCAGTTGTACAGGTTACGTTAAGTGACTCCGACTGACATATCACTATATATTGATTTATTTCACCTGGCTTACTTATTTCATTGTTGAGATACTTGACATGGCATATACTTGGTTTTCACTACTTTCGAGCAGGATTTCTATATACATATGTATTATTATTTTCTGGGAAAATATACGGGTTTTACGGTGAGGGGTTGTATGTTTTGAAAGTGAAATGGTTTTGAAAAGTTTTATTTTTGCCCACTCACGTTTTTTGTTTTTGCGCCTCTCCAGGTTCTAGTTAGAAGTTCGTGTTGGTGGCTTACGAGGACTCTACGGCGGTTTTGACAGATTTCCATCAATGTAGGGTGTTCTTTCATATCCTGTATAATTAGTATTTAGCTTGCTGGATTGCACTTTGGTACCTACGCTCTGATTATGTATATCTACACTCTAATACTTCCACTCATATTTATATACTTACCTAGTGTAGAGTAGCTAGTTCGGTTTTTAATTACCCACATTATCTTATCACCTTCACTTCTGCACGGCGCACATGGCTACGTGACCCTCACGTGATGGCCAGCATGCCTCGATTTAGGTCGGGATGTGTCATTTTAAGCATAAAAAGTACAAGAAAATACGAAATAGTTATCAAACAATTCTTAAAAAGTAAATTGAAATCACTACCATCTTCGACAAACATGAATCAATTAAATATTGCAAGAGAGACAAAACTTGATACATGAAACTATGCAATCAAAACATATACAAAGCATAGAAACTATACATCAACCATCCAAAATCAATTTTCATTTCCTTTCCAAAATTTATAAGTAAGGCATGAAAAAGGCATATATAATTAACTATAAAATGTGGCCACTCAGTACTACGGTTTAGTGATATTCATCTTCACTTGTAAGTCAGAGGCCTTAAGTTCGATTCTCACAAAAAACGAATTTGAATCACATTATTGCTAGCCCATTGTAACGCTTAGCCTAGTCTCCCACCCTTTAGTGTAGATAATATTGTTTGTTAAAATAATTAATAATCGTGAAACTTGGACCCAATGTAGAATTAAACCACTCTTTTAAGTTTATGAAAATTATAACTAAAAGTTGATATAAAAGTACAAATATATCAATAATTGTATGTTTATGGGACAGTTTTGATATTTTCTTCAAAGATAACTCTTATATTTCTATATTTGAAGCGGAGAATGAATATTGTAGAGTGTCGATAACGTCATGTTTTGTCTTGTTTAAGAGTCATTTGACAACTATTCCGAACCAACCCAAGTGTTTTTGTCCTCTTATATTTCTATATATAGGTGAGGATAAGGCATTTTTCTGGAAAGATAAAGTTGGCAATGGGACCATCCCTCATGTTCCTTTGCGTTTAAGAATCGATGACACAAACACAATGCAGGTTTTGTCAAACACGCGTGCCTTTGAAAGTAGTCATCCACTCTCACGTAATGTTTGAAAATTGATAAAATATAGCAGAAATAATTGAAAGAGAAACAAATCAACCACTAAATAAAGTATAAAGAAATAAATAAAAAGGGTAGCCAGATAGCTAAAATTATTATACAAGGATGAGAAACTGGACAATCAGACACCGTCCAAATCTACATCAACAATATCACACACCGTGACTGTACTGTAATAACACAAAAAACTAGGAAGAAATAAATACAAATGATCAAAGATATTGATCGGTATGAATGGCTGGGTATATCTTCAAAAACATGCATCCACCATGCAACAGCAACAGAGGGCAGCACAGCAGCCCTTCCAGAAGCCATCACCCTTTGACTTGGTTTCTACCGGAACCGCGTTTTGGGGTTCATCTCTTGTTGGGTAGCCGGCTGGTGGCGGAGCTTGCACGTAATAGGGACCCTGAGCGGCGCCGGAAGCTGGAGCGGGGTGTCCTGCTGCACATCAATTAAACAAGGTCACTCCGTGTAATCAACAATCAATTTTACGTATAATTCAGATAAAAACTAATTAAAGAGAAAGAAAAATGATCAGCTAGTATTTTTGACCTAACAACTGTCGTTCATGAGATTGTTTTAACTCGAGAAAAATCTTAAAGAAAAGTTGAACATGTAACTTAAAAAATTTGAGGAATCAAGAAACTGAAATCTTTGATCGACGGAAACTAAATATTCTCCAACAGGATATTCAAATTAAATTCAAGAACATATATATGCATGAAGATCTGGATTTTTATGGGAAGAAATTAAGATAATACGAGTGAGGGTGGAGTTGAAAAAGTACCTGCTGAATTAGTAGTACTCATGTTTGAACAAAGGCGAAGATCTGGGGAAGATTATAAGGTATATTGGGGTTTAGAACTTTAGATAACCAAAATACTTGGAAGGCTTTGAGTTACTGCTTTAGAGTTGTTGGTTTAGAAGACGATCGATGATGAATATATATACATATAGAAAAAAGGGCAGATGGATGGAGTTGTTTCGTAGAAGGCAGTCGCGCGCTTGTACGCGGGCGGCTAACACGGCGTGAGGAAGAAAGAATATCAAGCCGAAAAAAATACTCCAATTAAAAGGAGCTGGATCCCCTCCGAGGCAAACTCTCGGGATCCGCCTGGTCCTATAATACGGGTCGTTGAATTTTGATCAAACGGTTACAATTATTATAACTTTAAAATGATTTATTTATTTGTAACCGTTTGATCAATATCCAACTATCCGTGTTAATGAATCGGACGAATCCCAAGAGTTTGCTTCGGAGAGGATCCAGTTCGCAATTAAAATGTCACCAAGGTTCCCAAATGGCAGGCAATGCTTTTAAAATTCAAATGAAAGTAATTTGTGATCACGTGGCTATGTTTATGTGACCGCCGTATTCTAAAAATCTTTTTTCTTGTTTCGAGCATTTTACAAATTATGAGATACGTTGAGAGTTGACACGTGCATTTACTACATCAGATATTTGACAAAACATGATATGCAAAAATCACTAATTCACAAGCTAATTAAGTCTTACAATAATTAATTTAGCTTACAAATTTAATCTTTTTAGCATTACTATTTTTTTAACAAATAAACTCCGATAAACTGCAAAAGCAAACTCCTACACGTTGAACTAATAGTAATCCTCCTACACATTGACACGTGGCTCCTGCTTACGTAATTTCAACTGTATGACTCATTGAAAAGGCCTTTATTTAATTGAATTATTGTATTCCATTTATATATTCCTCGGTTGAATTCTCAACCAATATTCGTTACAACTGGGGAAGGGTATATGGAATCAGTATCGACACGACCTTCTAGTATCTTCTACGTTAAAGAAATTTGGAAAGAGATAATATCCAGATCTCTTCCTCTAAAGTTCAGAGATCAAGTGATCCGGATCTTTAAAAGTTTTATTTAACGGTTAAAAATTATTATAATTTTTAATTTTTTTTATTAATTTCTCTATTTTTAACCGTTAAATCAAATTTTAAAAACTCAAATGATTTGATTCTTAAGTTTTAGAGAGACAGTTCGGAGAGGATCTTTTTCCAAGAAATTTAAGGGTGTGAATGCAAAAACGCCTATCAAGAAATCAATTGAATTAAAATAATTGAAATATCTTTTGCTAGACGTAGTGGTTTGGGGTTGATGACATGGTTTTGTTTTTTGGTTGATGACGTGGTTTTGTTTTGTTTTGTTTTTGTGTTTTGGAAGAAACGTGGTTTTGTTTTTTGGTTCATCATCATGAAGTGGTTGAGTTGTTTTGCTTGATTTGATTGTCGGTTGGCCTAATTGTTCTTATCCAGTTCTGTGTGTCACTTTTTACAACAATTATCTTCTAGTAGGTAGTATTTTTTTTTCATTGGTAAGTGAGAGATTTTATGTTCAATTCTTGTCAAAAGTAAATTTAAACCATATTATTATAGTTTATTATGAAGTTAAATCCATCATCTTTTCGTAATATAAATAATATCGTGTTGAAAATAATTACACAGAATAGACAAGCCGTGTTGAAAATATCTAAAAACTGGGCGTCACTTGCAAATTTTTAGCCGTGCCAAAAACCGATTGTGGGTTTTTCTCTCGTATGGCATATTTTTCTAGGTCAGGGATACGCACAGGAGCGAAAACGTTTATTTTTTTTCACGAGTGAACGGATTTAACTAGTTAATCTCAACCAATTTTCTTTTGTCTTTTGATGCGTAGAAGAGCAAAATTCCGCATAGGAGATCTTGATCTTAAACAATATTAATTAATAATAAGTTTCCCCTACTGTGTTATCCTTTTTTAATATGTCATTTTCACCAAATTCGTGAATTTTTTAATTGGGTGTTTCTATTTGAAATACCACTTTTTTTTTCTTTTTTTTTTATTGAGCACATCGATATTTTTATATTAAGGGGAAATGAGAGTTCGGCAAAGTGATCCAATGGACATCCTAATTTGGTATTGAATTCGCCGTTCACGAGATTCGAACCTAAGACCTCTTACTTTCAAATGAAGATAAATATCACTCTTGTTTTAGTTCAACAGCATTCCCAAGTTTGAAATACCAACATTCACGACTAGATTTCAACTCTTGCTTATTTGCTTGTACTTTCTACTTGTTTTTCCTATTCCAATTAGTTAGACTCAGAGCATCTTTAAAGAAGATGTCGAATTCTAAGTGGAGATGTCGTTGTGCATAATTGGCATAAAAAATTCTTCCAACCGAAGTGTTATTTGATGATTTGATTTGAAGTCTTTGTGATTAGGAGTCAAATTTAACATTAACATCAATTTGTTTTTAATTAATTTTAATGGTTGGTCTCTTATTCTATTAATATTTCAACCGCTAAAAATTTTGTTTCATCAAATTTTTAAATAAATACAACCATTTAAAGTTCTATATTAATAAAAAAAATAACATTTGACAATTCGGTTGAAAAAATATAAAATTTGTCATAAGACTTTGAATTGTCACATTAGCCATCAATTATAATTTAGCTGTTATAATTTAACATTTTATTTGAAGATGATCTTAGTGTTCGCAAGTCCTCCTAAGAGCATCTGATAAAAGTTTGTCACTCAACCTACCATGAGGTAAAAGTTAGCAAAAGCCTTAAAAATACCACTTTACTTAATTCTTTGCTTGTGCTATGCTATGTACGTGCCTTTAATGATCTATTAATGCTATTCATACGATGTTTTTGTACTACATTTTCATACTACCTTAGGTGATATTTAATGTGGACATCTACATCATTTGAATTAATCAGATTTTTAAATTTAGTTCATTATTTAATAAACTAATAATTAAGAAAAACTAGTTAATTAAATTATGATGGTAGTATGAGTCTTTCTCCTTCATTTCCTTGGGTTTTGCAAATTTTTCAAATGATGTGGCTGTCCACATCAGATACCACCTAAGGTGGTATATAAATGTGGTATAAAAACATAATATGAATAACATTACTCAAGATATATAGGTGATGGGTGGCAATTTGCCCTAATTGATCAGCAAGGCAACTTTAGCTGGCCAAAACCCTTGAGGCAACTTCTTTTGTTCGAAAAGTTCTTTGAGACAGCTTTGTCAAAACCGTTGTTTTATCATCGTTGAATAATGAACAAATTTACATATCCTTTGTTTTCATATTCTTTTTTTAGTATCTCTCGTGACATGTATCACATAACTGCTGCGTGGTGAACAAAATAAAAAGAAAAATGTCAAACAAGGAATCCGTAAGTTTTACTCGTTGAAAGGATAAAAGGTGACATGACAAAAACTATTACCTTCTTCTCTAAAGATGCTCCTATATGCATCAAATTTAATCTTTTTGCTTGAGAGCGTGAGCTGCTAAATGAGCCTTCTTTCGAAACCCTTCAAATTGATTTTTTTTTAGTATATACAGTCTTCACTTAAAACAATAAATAACACGCACTCAATCCATATACTCTAAGTTATTAGATGAGAGAAATATTAAAAATTATGATTGGTTCTGAATAAAGGTCAAATCAATCACATAATCAACTTAGGTTCAGAATTCTAGTCGAAGACGACGAGACTCGGCGGTTAAAGAGTTTCGACCAAGAATGATTTTGAGTTTATTAAGAGAATATGCTGAAGAATCATAATATTATCAGAATTGTACCATTCGGTAGACATAGCCATCACTGAATTCATCCCTACAAATACAAGAGGTTTTGCAACGTGCCCTTCAACTCAACAAATAACTCAAAACGCTTTACGCAAAAACCCCCGCTCTATGCGAAACCCTTTTCACACCGTTGAGAAAAACCCTCGCTCTATACAAATACAAAAGGTGAACAGTACTGCTGTGTTGGAGCGGAAAAATTTGGTTCCTCTAATCCTCCAACAAGTAAATCTTGTAACCATGTTGAGAAGCCCACAACACCATATTTGCTCGCTATCAATGAGGGAGGAGGGGACCTGCAAGAAAACACTCTGACGCTCAAGTCAATATTTATCCAAAATGCTTAAAATATAGAACGATCTTATACCTTTCTTTCCTCCATCTTTTTCCTCCCTGTTCTGATGGAATTCTAGGCCTTTTATAGGCATAAAAAGCTTGGACTCCAAGTCCCATTATCTCACTCCATGTTCTTTAGTAGTGGATGATTCATATTGCTTTATTTTAGCCTCACTCCCTTGTTTTTAGGATGCATGGGAAATCGCTAGTTTTTAGGATGCATTGACCCTTAATTTTTGCACCCACAAATGCCCCCTTTTTTTCTCTGCAAACACACATCATCTTAGTTTGTAGAGGAAAAATATTTCTTTTGAAAAAATTCATGTGACTTTCATCATGAGTTTAGCCTTTGGCAACGGTCATAGTTTAGCCTTTGGCTATGATCAAACAATCGCATGTTATCCTTCGGCCACGATCACTTGGTCATAATTTAGCCTTCAACTATGATTATATGGTTAGAGTTTAGCCTTCGGCCACAAGCATATGATATTCGACCATGGGTTTTAGGTTTTCAACCCTCGGTCTTGGGCTTCAGCCATAATTAGATTTAGGGTCTTCGAGCCTCGGTCTTGGGCCTTCAGCCATTTTACGATCTTTGGGTTTTGGTTTTAATTCAGTCATAACCCATTTGATCTTGGGTTTTCGATCTTAATTCGGTCTTAACCCACTCGGTCTTGGATTTTCGATCTTAGTTCGGTCTTAACCCATTAATTCAATCTTGGGTTTTCGATCTTAACTCGGTCTTAACCCATTCGATCTTGGGTTTTCGATCTTAGTTTGGTCTTAACCCATTAATTCAATCTTGGGTTTTCGATCTTAATTCGGTCTTAACCCAATCGGTCTTGGGTTTTCGATCTTAGTTCAGTCTTAACCCATTAATTCAATCTTGGGTTTTCGATCTTAGTTCTTCAGCTCTTATTCAGTCCTAGGTCTTCGACCATGAATTTTGGTAGTACACTCATGCCCCCAGAATTGTTCAAATGCATCGGTTTTGGCTCTCTGACAACAACTAAGCAAAATTTCAAGA